TTAAAATTAAAGTTTCTTTGCGATGTGGAGTTTACAACGAAAGAGATGCATAGGTAAAAAAATTGGTATTTAAAATTGCATAGATTTTAATATATATATATATATATATATCCTAAATTGCAATAATCCCATATACACACACATGTATAGTAATACTTTTCCGTTTTCTCTTCATTTCTCCAATAATGAGAATATAGGATCTCTTCCAGCTATTTAGTAAAATAAATTGCTTAAGTAGTTCGAATTAAATTACACATATATTATATTTCGGTCCAACCATCTAGGAGATAGAAATATTATCATATTGTAGTTACATTCAACGTTACTTTTCAGCAACTTATTTAAAAACATCATAATTTATATCCCAAATGGATCTTACGGGAACTATACTAAATCCATTTTCAATTTGGTTATAATTTCATACTCAACCAACGTCAATGGAAATCTAAATAACCACCCATGATTTTTGAAGATATGAATATTTGAAATAATAAAAATATAGACACTGTCATTTTGGTAAAGCATAAGGTCTTTTTGGCTTCTCCGCATTTTATTCTGACCTTATAACAAAAAAAAAATGACAGCTGAAATATATTTCCTTTTGCAACTTTATATTTATTTACGTTTGGAAAATTCTCAAATAAGGACTTTAATTGTGAGATTGAAAGTAATGGGCATTTATGCAAAACATTTGCAAATTTCCGCCCCTATATGAAAAAAGAACCCAACATTTCTCAGGCAAAAGAGCACGCGGAGCCAACTTTTTTGCAAAAGCTAAAAATTTAAAATAAAGCCAAAATCAAATATGAAAAAACAAAAATAAGCAACAAATACAAAGATAGAATCAAAATACAATTATACAAACCACAAATGCTACAACCCAAACCCAATAAATCCAAGAATTTCACTAAGGAACACAAACAAAACAGAATACCACAGAGACTGCCCGGTGCCATTTAAAAAAAAAACAATATTATTTTAATAATCTTTACGTAATAAACAAAAACAGCCCAAACGTGGTGCATATAATATGGGCTTCAAATATAGGCCCATTAACCGGATTGTATTCTATGCTGTTTTGGCCCATTAAGTGAATTGGGCTTTATAATGCTTCGGCCCAGTTGTTTCGAGATTTCAAATTACTCCATTGGGTTTTTATGGCTCCAATATTGTTCGGAATAATTCAAAAAACGCCTCGTTAGAAATCCATGGTTAAAAAAGAGTTATTTTGATATTTGAAACAAATTTTTTTATCATCGTGTTTAATAGGTATTAAATATTATCGAATATCTAATCATGGTTATTTACAACACTATAAATCGACCAAATTTTATTCTTTTTATTGTGATATAATAGTTATTTTTAATTTACAAACAATAAAAATAAATTCGAATATCTAATCATGCTTAGTTAATAAGATCATGTAAATTGACAAACATGTTCAGTTAAGTTTATTAGCCACAAACAACTTGTTGATAAATTTTTTATTATTAATAATAACGCATATTGTATTATTTACCCAAAAAAACGTATATTGTATTAAATGTGGAAAAAAACAGAGATGGGAAGTAGGTAAAGTAGTCTCTTGCATAAATACCAACTAGTTGATAAATTCATTTTCTATTAAATTAAATTAATTTTAAAATTAATTCCCAATTTATTTTAATATTAGATTTAATTTTAATTTTATTTTTTTTATATATATTACTTAATGCAGCGAAATATCTAAGCTTAGTAGTCTTTTGCATAGGATTCTTGCTTGTGTTCAAATTTTTTCTAGCTTTGCATGTTGACACGTGCGGTCACGCCCCTAGATACCTTGTGTGTGTAACGGAAAGATCTGTTCTCTTAATTTTCTTTTTCTTCTTCTGAATATTTTAAATTTTCGATTAATTAAAATACATAAAGTATTAGGTTACGGTCCAAGTTTAGTCGTAGGCTTTTTTATTTTTAATTTAGAAAGGCAGAGTTTATATAATCAACAATCAGATGGGGATTTTCAAATTTATGCATATGATTATGAAATGTGAACGTCTTATAACTGTTTTGTCTTCTTATGTAAATATTATTATTATTATGGATATTATTAAACTCTCTTACGGATTTAGCATATTCCTAAACTATCTCAAGTGAGCAAATGAAACACGTTTAGGTTCGTATCTAACATTTTATAGATTCATTACATTATTGCATTTTAAATATACAAAGATGATGTTCTGTTTACATCCTAACTAAACAATATATCATTGTATTCTAAATAAATTCATATAAAAAAAAATTTAAAAAATTATGAATATTAATTAATCTATAAAAAACTAAATTCTGAAGATATATTTATATAGAGAGGAAATGTAGTCATAAAGATTATAATCAAATAAAATTAAATCAAATGGAAACAAATCTTAATATAAAATCGAATAAATTTAGGTTTTTCTAATTTTAAAATCTAAAAAAATAATCCAACCACCGTGACGGAATTTCGAAATATCTATTTCTACAGATATACGTGTTTCTATATATAGAAGAACGAAATGTAATGTAACAGGTAAGAAGAAGATAACTGACTTCTGTCATAACCATAGCCAGCTTTTTTTTTTTTGCAAAATAAAACATTGCCGGACATATACGTATAAATGTCATATGTATATAATATATATACATGTTCATATATATATACATATATGAACAAGCAGGAGAGAAGGGGTCTCGAGAGAATAATAAGGCACGTGGCGGCACGTGGAGCCTCGCGTGCCAGTGTGACTTGCCTTTTACTACAGGAAAAAGAAAATTGACAAAAAAAAAGCAAACGTGGGACCCACGTGGACCTTCAATATGCAACTTAAAATTTCATTTAATTTTTTATTTATTTTGACACAAACAAAAAATCAGCAATAAATTTACCTGACTCCATGTGTCAGAAAAACGCCTTTGTCTTCTCTTGGACATGTGAACCCCCTCGCCTCCTCCTATCTCTTTATTCTCTGTACGAAATTTATATAAATTTCAGATTTGGTATATAATATAATAAAAAAATGAAACAATATAAAATTTTACTGCCATTAGAATATGAGAAAAATATATTAAAATCATCCAATCTCACGTGGCACGATCTGTTGTCTAAATACGACAATAGAGATGTCGGAATAAGATTTTAATCGGAGAAGATAAGTATGAGAAAAACGAATTAAACCTAAGAATATAATTTCTATTAGTAAGTTACTTCGGTTTTAAAATTGAAAAGATATATTTTAAAAATCGAAAAATATAATTTATGTATTAGTGAAAATAAAAAAGGAATTTTTAAATAAGTATTTTATTCCAATATGAGAAGTGACTTTAATTGTCGATAAACTATTTTAATTTTAATTTCATAAAATGTCTGTTAGGAATTTTGGGGGTGAAAATTGAATAAAACATTTCGTATGGGTGAAAGTAAAAAGAAGAAGAAAACTAGGGGTAGAAGTGAAAAGAAGGGGGACGAAGAGTGGTCACATCACATCAAAGGAGGGGGTGAGTCACAGGCGATCCCCCACCACGCAGTTGTTACTCACTTCTATGCTTTTTCTTCTGACACCCACCTGCTTCCCTCGCCTTTTACCTTTTTACCCTCCAATGTATACGTATATGTGTACGTGTATTTTCCATTTACGCAGAAAAAGATGAAAACTCTGTCGAGAATATGTTCAATCAGGAGTATCTTTGTTGGAGACATAATCGAGGAAATAAATTTTGCGGCCAAAATAAATGGAGAAAAAAAATGACCACGCGTTACTTATGTCAAATTGATATTTAGTTTACAGAATAAATATATACATCTTTTTCGGTAAACAGAATAAATTTATATCTTTCAATTTTCTGAACTATAAAATAAATATAATGCTTACCTTTTGACAATAAATAAATAAATATAATGCTTATTAGAATTATAATGACGTTATATTCGTTATATATACACACATATATACGAGTTCACGTTCCTATTGTACGTGAATGGCATGATAGGAAAATAGAGGGAAGCAGCAGGGGCAGATACGTCCGAGAATTCAACATAATTTGGCCGCACATCGTTTGTGGGACCACTTCATGCGCCCTATTTGGAAACTAAAGCGTTTTTAAAGCCGATGTTGCTATGAGCTCAACTCGGCTCAACTCGGCTCGGCTAGATCAATACTTCTGTGGTAGGTTTTGTGGGTTGGGGCCCACTCGAGATCCCATATGGTCTTTTTTTAAGCACGTGACACATCACTATTCCACTAATTTCTAATTTAATTTATTTACAAATTGAAATAAACTAATAAATATTAAAACAACGAAATCACGCTAATAGAACCAATCAGATTAATTAACTTTTGTTTGGTGATTTTAATGGATTCCTGCCAATTTCTGTGTGTAGAGTCTTTTTACTGGATTTTACTTCAATTTCTATTCGCGTTAAAAAAATCTTAAACAATTTTATTTAACAGAAAAATGCATCACAATTTTTTTGGTGAAAAGTAAACCCAAGATTACAATTTTCTAAGGTTATACGAAATATAATATTACAAAAATAAATAATTTGAATGTTAGGAATTAAAATAATTAACAGGATATATTAGAAACTAATTAAGTTGTAGTTAAATTTATTGAGTTTGAAAATTTTAAAAAATCTAGACAAATTTTAAAATCTGTATCTATTTATTTAGTTGATCAGTTTTTGTTTTTCCGTTTATTAAATTAATTTAGAATATTATAATACACTCTCAAAGTGGTATTTCCAAGGCACCGAGACAGAAAAACTGCAGGTTATATTATCTTTATCCATTCAGCATTCTGAATCTTGCAGTTGTTCTTTCTGGGTTTTACATAATTAGATATTTGATAAAAAATACTAAAGATTGCATAATAATATACTAATAAATACAATAATATTTAATTAATCAAACATTATATTATATATTTGCTGTCCGCGGTAATTTTTCTCGCTTCCCGGTTGTCTTGTCTCATTGTCTTTTTCCTCTACTTCTCTGCGTCAAAGACTCAAAGATACAATAACTGTCTGCAAAGAACAAAGCTTTTCTCATAGGAAAAAAAGTTTTTTTTTTTGCTCTTCAGAAATCAAACAGACAAAGACTTTGTGTTGTTGTTGCCTTTGCTTATATAATCTTATACTTCAACAAAAAGGGAAAAGAAAAAAAAAACACAAAGCCAAATAATCTCTCTCTCTCTCTCTCTCTCTCTCTGTGTTCCATGGACTTGCAACTGAAGCAATGGAGGAGAAGCCAGCAGCAGAATGAGTCAGAAGAACAAGCTTCTCCAACAAAAACTACAAAACTTGTCTTTGATCAATCCTTAACTGCTGCAACTTCTACTGCTCTTCCCCTCTTTGCTCCTGAACCTGAAACTGAACCCACCTCTTCTAAGCTCTCCTCCTTGTCGGGTTTTGCTCCTGATTCTTCCTCCAGGTCTCCAAGTAAGTCCTTTTCTTTCATAAAAGTATGTCCAGTTTTGGGTTCATGTTGTGAATTCATGTTCTTTTGGACGTTTTTCTTGAGAAAGAACCAAACTTTTCAGACTTTTAATGGGTTTTCCCATCTGGGTTTCGCTTATTCTTTTGTTTCCACCTCAGAATTCGTAGAGATGAGGAGTTTCTTCAGCTGGAATCAGTGGCAAGAACTTGAGCTACAAGCTCTGATCTACAGATACATGTTGGCTGGTGCTGCTGTTCCTCAGGAGCTCCTTTTGCCCATCAGGAAAAGCCTTCTTCATCGCTCCCCTTCCTATTTCCTTCACCACTTCTCTGCTCATCATCAACCGCCTTGTAAGTGTCTTCTCCTTCTCTCTCTCTCTCTCTCACATAGTTTCATGAGGATATGTTTCCATTGTTTCACTCTGGTGAAGACAAAGTCTGTGTCTTTTGTGTGGAATGCATGGCTTTTAGAGACAAAATCTGTCTGATGGTACTATCTTTTTGCGTATTATATGCACGTCTCTCTGCTTAGGACTACCTTGTAATCTTCCATCAGGCTTCAAAGAATACTCGACATTTTCTTGCATCTTCCCCCAAGATTTTGATACACAGTAGCAGTAGTGCCCATGCTCTTCATGAAGATGATACAACAGTTACTGAGTCTGATAATCCTCGCTCAGGATCAAACCAACTAGTAAATCCCACGTTCTTGATCTGTTTTGAGACATCAAGTTTCCAAAAGAGGCGCATGAACTCGTCCTGTCTTTAGGACAGGACGATCTTTGTCTTCACGGGAATGATTCCTTGTGTATTTTGAATCAACCGAAATGGTTCCATTGATCAAATCTGTTACGATGAAATGATGTTTTGTGGCTTGTCGTGAATAGGGTATGGGGGAAGGGCTGTGATGGATCCGGAGCCGGGGCGGTGCAGGAGGACGGACGGCAAGAAATGGAGGTGTTCGAGGGACGTTGTCGTGGGTCACAAGTACTGCGAGCGGCACATGCACCGAGGTCGGAACCGTTCAAGAAAGCCTGTGGAAATCCCCACTCCTCCTACAGCCACAACCATGGCTAACGCTGTTACAGCCAATGCAGCCGCTAACGTGAGGTCGGAACCGTTCAAGAAAGCCTGTGGAAATCCCCACTCCTCCTACAGCCACAACCATGGCTAACGCTGTTACAGCAACCCCAGCCGCTAACGTCCAATCTTCATTCGCTTTCGGCCGTGGAGGTGGTGGTGGGGAGGAGACGGGTAATGGGCAGAGTTTCTTCTTCTCATCATGTCCTTCACAATCTTCTCAGCTTCTCAACAGTAGTCAAAGGTATGAACGAAACACACAAGACAGCTCTCTCTTATCCTCTTTGAAACAGTTCCTCCATCGCCATTTAATGTTTCGGTTGTGAAGATGGGGTGATGTTGGCAATCGGGTGACAAAAGGAAATTATTATAATTATAATTATTTCTGAAATATCTTCTTCCTCAATGTCTGAAAATGGTGGGGACATTAGTGAAAGCTGATATGACCCATTTATGTCTCTGCACTTCTCCCCATCCACACAACTCGAAAAGATATTTTCAAACGCAATTATTCATTGGGTTGTATAGTATAATGTCTCAGTACATGTTTTATGACATTTTTCCATTATGATAACTTTTTTTTTGTGCTTTTGTAGTTGTTCGGGGACTAAGACAGGGAACAGCAGCAAGAACAAGAGACCGTACGAAGCGTCGTCCCACAGACCAGACGGCGGCCACATCCTGAGACGGTTCTTCGACGACTGGCCACGTGGCAGTGACGGTGACTCGGCGGCCGAGATGACGTCATCGTCCAGCCCCATGAGCTCGGCGGCGACGAGCCTCACTATCTCCATGGCCGGAAACCCTTCTTCCTCCTCTGATGTCTCCTTGAAACTGTCAACGGGCAACGAAGAAGAGGAAAACGGTAATAACGGTATGGGTAACGGTAATAACGGCTGGTGGGGCGGCGGCGGAAGCGGCGGCCCGTTGGCTGAGGCTCTGAGGTCTTCGGTGGCGGCGACGTCGGTCTCTCCGACCAGCGTCTTGCATCAGCTTGGGATTACGACTCAATCCTTTCACTGAATATTGTTGTAATAATAATAATTAAAATAAAAAAAATCTTGATAGACATTGTTTTTAGTTTCTTTTAATGTGTGGTTCTTTTGGGTGTTTTTTTGTTCGTTCTGTTTCCTTTTATATACTTTTATTTTTCTCAATTCACAATATTTTTTTTTCCCAACTCGATGAGAATTTTAAGAAAACTATAAAAGGAGATTAATGCAAAGTGATGTCGGTCATAAAGTAAATATTACATAAACTCAACCAAATATTTAAACAAGTGCAACGACGTCGTTTTATTAGCTGAAACGGCATGATAACAAGCGGGACGACGGCGTTTTACTTAAGCGTATACGACGTCATTTGGAAAGGAGGATACAAAACGAACGTTTTAAACGACAGCGTTTCAAAAATTTAAAAATTATGGAACGGCGTCGTTTAAAAAGTAGGTCAGTACATGAATTATAACCGTTGTACATCTTCCAAGACAGACCACCTCCTTCTCCTTCTTCTTCCTGCGTTTCCTTGGACGATTTCAGAAATTGTTGGTAGCGATGATCGAGAGGTCGAATGTCTTCCGTGGATCTTCCTTTCGATTCCTACGATGATTCTCTCTCTTCGGTGGATCTTCTTGTGAGTTTCTTGATGTATCCTCTTGAATATGTACTATGATTCTTGCTTTCAGCTGTGTTCTCTCTCTCTTCTCTTCGGTGGATCTTTCTTTGGCTTCGGAGGCTATTTCGATTCCGGGAGGAACGATGATTTCCCATTTTTCCCCTTTCCTTTCGGCTTCTTCTTCTTCTTCCCCTGATTCATTATGTTTCTTCTCTGCGTCTTCGTCGCTCCATTGATCCTCTTTCTCCCTCTCTCTATTACGGTATGTATCTTCTCTCTGTTTTCTCATTGACCTTTGTCGTTTTCCGGCAACTGTGTGTGCAATTCGGTTGAATCTGATTGTGGGTTTATGTTTGTCGATTGAATCTCAGATTCTTTTTGAGTTTATTGTTTCTATTCTGAAACGCTGTGGCTTCGTTTCCTTCACCTTCCCTTGGACACCTAAAAACTGATTATCATAGACATATATACAATGCAGGGTTCAGCAAGCGTCGGCTTTACCCAGGTTTTCAAAAACCAGAAGCCTGGATTTCCCACTAGTTTATCTTACCACTTGGTTTTGTTCTGTATCTGCTCATGGTGAAACCCTAGAATCGGAGCCAGTGTTTCAATTCTTCACCTGGAGAGTGTTTCCTTTCCGGAAATTTTATCCCGTGGGTTGGGAATGGAATCTGATGAACTGGGTCGATCGCTTATTTTGATTTTATCGGCTTAGATCTCGAAAGTTTCTTGCTTGATATTCTAGGTAAGCTCTATAATGCATTTGTTCCCGAGTCTCCATCTTAATCTTCATGGATCGATCGATTTGGAAATGATGGATGTGAAAGTAAAAGGTCTGAGCAGGATTGCGTATTGCGATTCATGTGGCAAGTGATGTATGCATATATCTGTCTGTCTGTCTGTCCGTATGTATGTTTATGTATGCATGTATATATGTACGTACGTATGTGTGTATGTGTGTATGTACCCCCCTATAGTGTTATTATCAATTGTTCCTGTTTGTCAGAACAATTGGAAGTGCATTCGCTATTACTTGCACTGACCGAGGGCTGAGATTGCTGTCTGTCTGTAGACTGTATGTATATATGTATCATCAACTGTTCCTGATCTTTTGGATAAACATAATCCAGGGCTGAGATTTGGGGATTTGAGAAATTAGGGTCTAATGTTTTGAAGTGTTTTTTTGGATGTTGTAGCATTAGGATTGGTGATTCAGAAGACATAAGTGACCGGGAAAACCATAAGGTGATGTTTAATACCTTTTTTTTGTTGTTGGGATAGATGGTTTTTTCACAAATTTATTTGCTTAAGGATCCCATTACAGGTTGAAAGTGAGGGTGAAGATTATGAGTATGGGCTAGAGGATTACATAACTGAAGAAGAAGATGATGAAAAGGATAGCGAGGAAGATGAAGAAGGGAATGACACAATAAGATTGTTATTTGGCATTTTTCTGGTGAGCAACTTGAAGATCACTGAAGGTATTAATAACTTTCTTGTTTGTGCTCCACATGAGGGCTCTCTGGAGCACAGATTCTTGCTGCAAAAAGCATTTGCAAGTTCAAATAGATTGCCGCCGGTAAACTGTTATCATTTTCCTGTTTTTTTCTTTATCTTTACCAGTTTCAATATGCTGATGGTGGAAAGAAATGCTTCCAGGAGCCTGTCAAGTTTCAATAGTGAAAATATCTGAAAATTGGTTTTGAAGAATATCTTCTTTCCGAGATAAGGCAGTGGACAACGGGTGCAGCTGTTATTAAAGGAAAGCTCCATGCCTTCAACCAGGTATAGATACGGAACCCGAGTTACAGAGCTGTTAATTGGAGTATAGCCAGAAATCTTTACTTGATTTCTTTCCTTCTTTCTTTTTTCCTTTCAAAAATAGAACAAGAAGATCTACTGTTGCTGTTTTTGGGACTGTGAGTCACTGTCATGAGTTTGGTCTTGATGGGACAAAATTCAGTTTCTCTTCAGTTTGTACTGATCTTTAGGATTTAATTTTAATGCACAGGTGCCTGGAGAAGTAACACAGGTGCCTGTCGGAATTCTTCGAGACGGTCGGCCCAGCATAGGTACGTACATATAATAGAGAAAGAGATAGAGATGGAGAATCATTGGATTTTTCATTATTCAACATAGAACATTACAACATTTATAATAGAAAACGAAATCACAAAATATCTTATTTAATAAATATAAATATCTAAAATATAGAAGAAACAAAACCAAATCTAATATTACGTAATTTTCTCCATATCTCTTTATATGCCCCTCAAACTCAAGGAAATGAGAAACAACTGTTTGAAGTTAAATTATCAAGAAAATAGCGGGATTTGGTAATCAAACTAAGGTAAATAGTGTATTGTTGGCGTATCTGAAAAGTTCGGTGTGACGCAGAAGCGTGGTGCAGATGCACAGTGATGAAGATGAATAACACGACAATAATGTCGACGACGCACAAGGCGCAGTGGTTTAGCGGCTATGCCGAAAAAAAAGTGGCTCAAATGCGCGCGGCTAAAGCCAAAAAAAGAAAAAGAAGGTGGCGCAAATGCGTGGACCGACGATCGAAGTGTTCCAATCGAAGAGGCTAAACGCTGGGTTTAGAAGAGATCCTTACGACGTTTAGTCGTACAGGTTTTGATACCATAATAGATAAAGAGATGAAGAATCATTGGATTTTTCATTATTCAACATGGAACATTACAACATTTATAATAGAAAACGAAATATAATGGAGCAGTCATACATTCTTAAAAGGATAAGATGAACATACATTTGATTATAGTCGCTCGTTCCAATATGAATACTTCACATCCTCGAGTTTTCCAGTTTTATGAAGCTCCTTGTGACAGCCTAGGATACCGTAGGAGGACGAGGAGTGATTGCCGGTGCGAGAGGCATGGACAATGGGCGGCTCCTGACGAGCTTCTGGGTAGGGGGTACAGAGATGAATCAGACGCACCGGAATGAGAGGGATTCGAGGGTTGTGTACGTATGAGACTACACAATCAAAGATAACTTAAAGGAATTGATTGAGTTACTCATAACAACAAGATGCATCTAACTTTTCGGTTAACCATCTCGACAGAACTCCAAAGTTAAGCGTGCTAGTTTTGGAGTAGTCTTAGGATGGGTGACCTCCTGGGAAATACTTTCCAGGATGTGTGCGAGTGAGGATGAAACATGCTAAAAGGTCTCATGTTGGTGTATGGGGACAGCTCTATCACCATATCGGTCTCAGGTCATTACAAATGGTATCAAAGCCGGTTCTCTTCCAGTACGGTGTGGTTCGAGGACGAATCAGGCGGAAGCTGGTGGGTCTGTGACAACCAGGATACCATATGAGGGCGGGGAGTGATCGCTGGTGCGAGAAGCATGGACAATGGGCGGCTCCTGACGAACTTCTAGATAGGGGTACAAGGATGAATCGGACGCACCAGAATGAGAGGGATTCGATGACTGTGTAGGTATGAGACTACACAGTCAAAGATAACTTAAAAAAATTGATTGAGTTACTCATAACAACAAGATGCATCTACCTTTTCGGTTAACCATCTCGAGAGAACTCCAAAATTAAGCGTGCTAGCTTTGAAGTAGTCTTAGGATGGGTGACCTCCTGGGAAGTATTTTCTGGGATGTGTGCGAGTGAGGACAAAACACGCTAAAAAGTCTCGTGTTGGTGTGTGAGGACAACTCTATCATTCCGTCGCGGCCTCGGGTCGTTACACTCCTCAATGAAAGTATCCATACCCACGCCCTTTTCAAATCAAAACTAAAGAAGTCATTTTACAATATATAGATATAGCAATTCATTGAGGAAAAACTTATATCATCTATGATGCCTAAATCATCTATGTTACCTAGTCTGTCTAACGGGTAACCCACGACTAAGGCGGATATAGAAAACTTAGAAATCTGCATAAAAATATAGACATATGTTAGTAATGGTATATAAAACCATATAGAGCTTATCAGTGGATCGAGTCGGTTCGATTCAGATAAATAACTAATAGGTTTTGATTATCCGATTAAACCGATTGAAATTTAAAAATTAGGGTTTGCTACCTAAGTCTTCTCTCTTCTCTGTCGACACGATACATTGGACATTGGTGCCCCTATGTCACAGGGTTAGATTCGAGATATGAATCTTTCCGTGCGGCAGTCTAGTCTCGGTGTGGAAAAAAGAAGTTTCGGGCAAACTGGGTTACACTTGAAAACTCCGGGAGATTAGACTAATTCTTTGGTTCCTTAAGGAACGAATGATGAGAACGAGAAAGAGATGGGTGAAGCCTGCAACAACAAATTTATTGATAAGGGTAAAAGATACAATGGCCGACGGCGGTTCGGTACAAGGAGGACAACACGACGACGATTTGAAAGCCGAGGCGTGTAACCGGAAAGGAGAACGAACCGACAACGTAAGAACAAAGTTCGGAACTTAGAGAGAGAATTGGGGAAAAAACAAGATTCTCTCTCAACAAATGACTAGCCTATTTATAGAAGAGACTTAACAATCTCTTGGTGGAGAGTTCACAAAATTCGGCCCCTAATTAACTCCACATGTACCTATTTTTCGGGAGTAAAAACAGGAAAAGTGGGAAGACTCCTTCCATTGTCTCCCTTAGTGCCACGATTTAAGGAAGGGTGTTGGGAATATTCTTCTACACTCATTTCTCAGTGTCAAAAAACCGAAAGAGAATGTCAGGATATCCCTTAGACCAAATACAATGAACCTAGACAAACTAAATGGGCTTTGGCCCGAGCCCAAACCATGGAGAATGGTCGGAACGTCCAAGAACTCATCTTCGACCATGTCCGCCAAACGATAAGTCTAGGGACTTAGCAAATTTTGGTTTTGGTTTGTCCATGGCCGCGATCTGGAACTCTCCGGATCATGTGAGGAATGTTCAGGAGTCCGTCCTTGGTCTGTGTCCCGCTTGGAAATAAGATAGAGTCTTTCGGCTGTGTGTCCCGTTCGTGATTCGTACCTACAAAACCGGATGAAAGGAAAAAATATGCAAAGAACGGGAAATGAGAAAAATTACCCATCTTTTCTCTCTCTCTCTCTCTCTCTCTCTCTCTCTCTCTCTCTCTCTCTCTCTCTCTCTCTTCAATTTAGGTTAATCCATAAAACCCATAAATTTAATGGATTAACCCAAAGATAAATATAAATATTTAAAGAGAAGTAATCTTTACATAACTGTTACACAGATAAAACGAAAACATTTAGACGAAAAGATAGTTTTAAAATGCATAGTTGAAACATTGTTTATTCGATAATTTGAAAAATTCTATAAATAAATGATTTTCATTATAATTTAAAGCGAGAGATGTCTATTAACTACGTATACATTAAATAAATTGTTCATTTTAATTAAATATTCAAATACAAACGACTTTATATGTGTATATATACATCTTTAGTGGATATATTAGACCAATTCTCTCTAATAATTTTTTATTATTTATTTTAATTAAAAAATTGTTACAAAAGGATAATTAAATTTAAATTTGAAATTTGAAATATATATAAAAAAATTGGATATTTAAGATATGTATAATAATTTGTAGTTTATTTTTGTACAATATTTTCCTAACTATAGACCAATTTGGATAGTTTTTTAATTAACTAAATTAAATTAATTGGATAAATTGGGTTACATGGTTTTTGACTTTTGTGTGGTGGGTTAAAACCAACCCATTAATTATTGTTATTGGGTTGAATCAACCCAACCCACTAATTTATTCGACCCATTTGGTTGGGTTTACCCAAATTGCCATCTATTCGAGCTCGACCCTGCCTTGCCTCCTGTCCGTCGGCGGCCGTCGCCTCTCTCTCTCTCTGCATCTCTCGTCGTCGGCCGCCTCTCTCTCGGTGTGTTTCATTGGAGCTCGACCCTGCCTTGCCGCCTGTCCGTCGGCGCCCGTCGCCTCTCTCTCTCTCTGCATCTCTCGTCGTCGGCCGCCTCTCTCTCGGTGTGTTTCTTCGCCTGCGTCTTACTCTCCGCCGCTGGTCTTTTTCGTTGCCATCGGCCTCTGATCTCCCCCTCTTCGGTCACCTCGTCTGTGTGTTTGATTTCTGTCGCCTGCGTCTTTTTCTCAGCCACCGGTCTGCTTACTCTTCTTCGCCTCTTCCGTGTGTCTGATTTTGTTCAGCCACGAGTAAGTCTTCTGCATCTCCTCTGTTTCATATTTGCAATTGATTTTGTTTTTGGGTTGGCCCACACACACACACGAAAGCCTGTGCTATTTGATTGAGGTGTTAATCTCAGTGTGACTTGGTTCAGAGTTTGAAATAAAGCTTCAGTGGAATCAATTGACGATTAACGTTTAGAATAGACTTTCTACAGTCTTGAATCTGTTCTATAGTTGATTGTTTGGTCTGGTCAATGTTAGAAATTTACCTTAGAATCATGTAAGAAGGGATAATGAAGCAATTAAATGCTAGAAGTATAGCTGCATCGCCGTTTGCATATTAACTCAAGCAATGCAATCTACACTCTATATTCAATAATCTGTTTCATCAAAACATGATGTTATGGATGTTGTTTTTGTTATTTTTTATGTTTGACAATTCTTATCGAATTTTTGTCTGGTTATAATTTTACTTACACAAACCCGAACCCGAACCAATTAAAAATATATAACTGATTAGATACGAATGTTCAAAATCAGAAATACCCGAACCCGTTTAACCGTAACGAATTAATCCGAACAGACCTGGATGCCCACCCCTAATTCTTACCTCCTGATTACACTTCTGGACTCGGGGCGTTTTCTGTGTTTTTATCAGACTAACTGAATCGAATTCCGTATTCTCTCGTCAGAATTAAAGGCAAAGATACATTCGTTCTGCAGTGTGTTTTTCTTCCATTTTGTTGAAATGTTTTGAGGGTTTTGATTCAGTCGTAGATGAAGTTTGTGAAGCCATTGAGCTTAGTCGTGCTGCAATGTTTTTTCTTCCATTCTGTTGAAGTGTTTTGAGGGTATTGATTCATTTGTACAGAAGATGAAGTATGTGAAGCCATTGAGCTTAGCCGTTGGCATTTCGAAGACAAAAACTTCAGTCCAAAGGCGGTTGCTCGGACTAGATGTCGGTGATAAATATGTAGGCTTGGCTATTTCTGATGCATCGAATAAGAAGGCGTTGCCTTTGAGGTACATATAAAGCTAACAACTTCATATCATGTGGTATATGGTTTAGTTAATGTTTTGATGTCTCATAATTGTTGTTTAGAGGGCTTTGCCATATAACGCGCCTCGGGTATTACCTATTGGCATTGCATATATCATTTTGAATGTTGTCTTTGAAACTGATTATATAGTGTCAATCAATCTTTGTAAAGATCTATGTTACATGTTCGTCATCATTTTTGCTTCCGAGAATGGTTTTCCAGTAAGCGGAAATCGAGAGATCTTCTTAAAATTGAAGTCCTACTGAATTGATTGTGAATCAGTGAATGCACATGTTTGAGTTTTGTTTTTGTTTAATTTGTTGATTCTGCAGTGTTCTCCTTAGAACAAAAACAAACATTGACTTGATGGCCACGGATTTTCAGAACCTGGTGGGTCCTTGATTCTTCATTTCTCTATTGCTAACACACTTTAGTTCTAGATGTTAGTTGAAATATGAGTGTGCAGAGAAACAAAGATTCTAGATTCTAACTATGAGTATATCAATAAAGTAATCTTGTTTCATATAAAGTTTCTAGATTCTCATATCCTCGTTGAATTGTCTGTTCTGCAACCTGTTGATGGAAATAAACGTATTCTATTCCCAAAGATTTTAGCTTGACTTGCATCTTTTTACATATATATCTCCTGTAACTATAATACGAATACTAATGTAGATGGTTATCAGGAAGTAGGCTCATAAGCTCTATATGGTTTTATATACCATTACTAACAGATGTCTATATTTTTATGCAGATTTCTAAGTTTTCTATATCCGGCTTAGTCGTGGGTTACCCATTAGACAGACTAGGCAACATAGATGATGTAGGCATCATAGATGATGTAAGTTTTTCCTCAGTGAATTGCTATATATATATATATATATATATTGTAAAATGACTTCTTTGGTTTTGATTTGAAAAGGGTGTGGGTATGGATACTTTCATCGAGGAGCTTCATAAAACTGGAAAACTCGAGGATGTAAAGTATTCATATTGGGACGAGCGACTATCATCAAAGGTATGTTCATCTGATCCTTTTAAGAACGTACGACTGCCCCATTATTAAACATCATCCCTTGTAATCGGGTATGAGATTGTTTGCAAAGAGAAAAACAGGGAAAATGTTAGGGGCATATTAGCATTATGGATAACAATATTATGGTCTGTGTGTCGTTCACAGGCCGTGGAAATGTTGTTGGAGCCACTGAATATACATCAAGTTAAAAAGAAGACAATGTTGGATAAGTGTGCTGCAGTTGGTATACTCCAGGTACCCTTAGATTCAACCTAATTGCCCATCCGCATGATTGAACATGTGTCCGGTAGATTCTCCCGTTTTAGGGATTGTATTTTGGCCCTTAAAAGTGTAATTTTATCGTACGGTCATTAGACCCGCATTGTTGTATTGTAGCGAATGTTGGGTAGCGAAAGCATAACATTTATCCAAAATAAGTCTGACTGAGATGATGATGTTGCGATAGATGTGCGGACACAAGAGAATGGATAGAATTTGAAATACATTAACATCTGTTCAGAGCCATGCTATAATGCCATTGTAACCTCATTGTGTCTCTCTCTTTTTTTCTGGTGTTTACGTACAGGGCTATCTAGATTTTGTCAACAAGAATATAATGAGGACGCCAAGCCAGTAGAAGTGTCACCAAGGATTGGTCATGTTGGTTTATTATATATACATGTGTGTGTGAGAGAGAGAGAGGGTGGCATATAATGTTGTATTGATGAATGCTGTGGCATGGAAGAATGTGGTGTTGGATTTGGAAGATGTGTTTGGCGTTTATGCTTGTTTTTTTAGATGAAAAAACAAAACAAAACAAAAGAGATGAAACTAAGAAATTTTAAATTTTTAGAATCCCATTTAATTAAAACAAAATAATTTTGATATTAAAATACGGATTATATAAAAATTAATGTTAAAATAAAATTTTAGAAAATAGAATATTAAATAGAGAATTATATAAATCTTTTTTTTTTTTTTGCAGCTTACATATGTATATTATAGAATATTTCAACCGTAACATCATTTCGATTATTCAAAGACAGAAAGGGGAGATCTGGACATTACTTCAACCACGAAGCCCGAGAGAGAAGCAGATTCCTCAGATTGATCAGTGAATCTTTGAGGAAAAAAATCCGACATCGATTCCATATGCATCACTGGGTTCGAGCTTCTTCTACCGATTTCGGCGGAACTCCTCCTCAACCGCGGAGGCAATTCTCATCCCCTCTCTCTCTCTCTCTCTCTCTCTCTCTCTTTCTTTACGCTTCCTCCGCAGTTCTGAATTCGAATCGACTGATTCTTCTTGTCCGATTCCCCTTGATCAGTGGCCACACTGCCGTCAATGTCGGAAAATCCATGGTGGTTGTGTTTGGTGGTCTCGTCGACAAGAAATTCCTCAGCGACATAGTTGTCTACGACATCGGTATCTCCCTTTATTACACGATTTTCATCTCTCGTTCTTTGTCTTTTTGGGTCGCTTCATCTTCTCGTTTCTTATTCTGTTTGTATCATTTTGTTTGATTCTTTAGTGCTTTAGGTTGTTATGTGTGGTGGTGGTAGTGTGTCAGTTCCCAGCTCGTCTAGGGCAATGTCTTAGCTCTGATTTGATGGTTCTTTTGGCTCAGGATCTCCCCATTGATGTTGGAAAACTTTAGATGAGATTATTGGGTTTGGTTTTGATGGATGATTCAAATGGATATATCATATTTCAAAGATGAATACTTTTGCTCCATCCTACTTGATTCTAGTGTCATCATGCTTCTGAATGGTGAAAGTCTTTTTCTTTTACCACCTTTCTAAGCAAGAGCACGGACATGTAGCTCCTCCAGTACAAGGTTGTATAAATGAAAACAGATCATCGGATGCATGTATTGATTATGGTCTTAATTTGGCTTGCCTTTTGCTTTTTCCGGTCTACTAGACAACAAGCTCTGGTTTCAGCCAGAATGCACTGGCAGTGGGTCTGACGGGCAAATAGGCCCCAGTCCGCGCGCGTTTCATGTTGCTGTTGCAATTGATTGTCATATGTTCATCTTTGGCGGACGGTCTGGTAACAAAAGGTAACTGCATGACTGGATAATTGATTCCTTGTATAGATGGAGGGCTGTAGGCGTTATATTATTCCCTTGTCCATAGATTAGCAATTTTTGTACTTTATTTCAGGTTGGGCGACTTTTGGGTCCTAGATACAGGTATGCGTATAAGTTCTAACAGTATTATTTGAAGAGAAACTGGCCGTTTGTTTTTTCACGCTTTGCTTCTGCATTTTTATAATAAGAATTCCATTATTTACATGCTGCAGATATATGGCAGTGGTCTGAGCTGACCAGTTTCGGTGACTTGCCTTCACCACGTGATTTTGCGTCTGCTGCTGCTATTGGGAACCAGAAAATTGTATTGTAAGTATTGGCACTTTATACCTTTTATCGACTTGCTAGGTTGCTGAATTGTGTGGCTGAGTGGCTATTCTTTGGCAGGTGTGGTGGCTGGGATGGTAAAAAGTGGTTATCAGATGTGTATGTTATGGACACAAGTAAATCTTGTACTCTTGTTTTGGTTCCGGTCTGCACTTTGTAGTTGCTGAGGATATTAACATATTTGGTGTATCCATTAGTATCCCTTGAATGGATGGAGCTGTCGGTTTCTGGATCTCTACCGCCTCCTAGGTGTGGCCACACTGCTACCATGGTTGAGAAAAGGTTGCTTGTTTTTGGTGGCAGAGGTAAGTAGCCCACACCAACGTCACAAAAAGCATATAAGATTCTTTATTTTTGCTTCTCAGTTGTTTTAGCATATTGTGATGTTAGTATAAGCTGACTATACATATCGCCTTAAATAATACGAAAAGAGGTGTCATGATGATGCCTAGGAATATGGATTGTAGAAACTCTGTTGTTGATTGTTCATCCAAGGACTCGATTTGCTACCTTTTCCCTTTCGTTTCAATGACCAAACTGGCTACAACTTTTACGTCGGGACTTGTGTTTCAACTTTAGTAATAAAATCTGTAGAATGTTTTATGCCTAAACATCTTTGATTTTTAGGAGAGGTCATACAAGTCACGTTTTTTTTAATCGAGCCAATAGCAATGAAACTGAAAGTTATTGTGTGGTATGTTTGTATTTTGCAGGAGGGGGCGGCCCAATCATGGGTGATTTGTGGGCATTGAAAGGTTTGATAGATGAAGGTTCGTCCCAAATTCCTAATATGTGTTCAATATAGAAATTTTATACTAGCGTCCGTTAGGTTGTCCACTGTTATGCTGAACACGGCTCCCTTTTGTTGTGGAAGAAAGAGCGTGAAACACCTGGATGGACCCAACTCAAGCTTCCTGGCCAAGCACCATCAGCAAGGTGTGGCCATACAGTTACCTCTGGAGGACACTATGTAATCCCTTTTCTAAATCTCTGTGCTTCTTGTCTATTATAGAACTCTATCAATAATGCTTTCTGTCATTGGATTGCTTTGTATGTGCTTGTGAGTACTGATTTTACTCGGTTCTCATAAATTCTGTTTTTACAGCTTCTGTTATTTGGGGGACATGGAACTGGTGGATGGTTGAGCCGTTATGATGTCTATTATAATGACACTATCATTTTGGACAGAGGTAAACTGTTGTTCCCTTGGCGTCCTATGGAATTTTGTCAGGTAACCTAGGGTCTTGTCTTAGTCTAAAAGTCTTTCGGACTTGCAAGATGTTAAAATTGTGATGTGATGTGTAATTTCTTTATCTTGTTGTCCCTTCTCTTCCCTATTGTATTTTCTCTTAAACAGTGTTTTGTTATATTTTCCACTGATTTATTCATTTCCAATTCTAGTAACCGCTCAGTGGAAGCGTTTACCAATTAGCAATGAGTCTCCTCCTGTTCGAGCTTACCATTCTATGACTTGCATTGGCTCTCGTCATCTATTATTTGGTGGTTTTGATGGGAAATCAACATTTGGTGATCTCTGGTGGTTGGTTCCGGAAGGTACTTAGCTGGATTCATACTTGATGTTCTACTTCCAGCTTGCTACTCTCTTCTTAACTTAGTTTCTACATCTACGTCCTCTTGTATGACAACTCTTTCCTCAGAACTTTATTCTCCGTTATTTTCGGAGAAATGTGTTGTTCCTCCATGATATGCTTATGTCTGATTAAATGAGATCTTGTGTTTTGCTCATCGTAACCTCGTCTCACTCTGCCTTATTTTTGCAGATGACCCGATAGCCAAGAGGTCTTCTATACATCAAATTGGAAATTCTCCTGAAATCAAGAATTCAGAAACGGAATTTGATAAGGTACTTGTGCATCTTACACATTTCTTTTCTCGTTTGTGGCTGAAATAAGATGCATACTTTACCCTTTTTGGCAACAGGAGGAAAGGCAAAAAGAAAAATCGGCTATCGCTGAACTGCAAAAGAAGCTTGAATTGTCTATGTCATGTGGGTTGCACCTTCAGATTGTAGAGGAGTCAGAAGATAAAGAATTCATCGAGTTAGGAACAAGGTTGATCAGTGGAGAAGTGGTTGGTGATCAGGCTTCCTTGGTTCAGGTGATCGTCCTCAGTTTATGTTGTTTTGTGATATATATAATGGTCCTAATTTTTTTTACTGAAATGCCCTCTTGTGAAAAAAGGTGGCAGCACTGGCATGTCGTGAGCATTGGAAGGAGTCCACCCCGATGGCTATACAATTGAAAGAACTCGGTCCTTTGCTCAGAGATTATCAACGTCTGGTTACTCGAAAATACGTGTGAGTTCTTCTCTATACTGATTACTTTGGACTCAATTCTTATGGAAAGAGATTGGCTCGGAATACCAGTGGGTGTTTGTCTTTGACATATTTCGTTCAGACTCTCATATTGTATCTTAGGCAATCGGTACGGTGAACAAAATGTGGAAGCTTTATGTATAGCTTTTGGGGTTTTCTTTGAGATGAAATGGTTTGCAATCACAATTTTGAAAGATATGCAGAAACAATTGTCCGCTATGAAAATGTCACATTCTCTTGTGCATCTTTCTTTCCTTTTTGGGTTATGTACTGATCATTTGTTTCTATTTACATGTCAGGGCCAATAACGGGTTGGCATCGGTTGATTCTGGGCTCTCGAGGAAAGAAACCTTCAAGTTTTATCATCTCAAAAATCCTTCCCAGGTGCTACTTCCTTGTCTGAAACATTAGTTACACCCCTCATACCAAATCGATTCTTCCTTAGTAGTAATCTCTTTTTAGTTCTTACATCCATTCTCCACACTAAATCCGAAACCCCAAGTGTCATATAGGATTTAGAAATCATCAACAGTAACTAAAACTAATATGCATCATTATTTGTTGTTTCTTTTTTATCCTCTCTTCTTAATCAGTCATCTAATATCCTAAGCTTTCTGATGTTTCCCCATATTATTTTTTCTAATCGGCATTACAATTCTCAGTTACGGATGGATGACATCCCGAAGTTGCTTGAAGAGTACAAAACCCTTCTATCCGATTGAAGAGTACTTCGGTATACCTCTTCGTATGGAGGAACTACAAGCTACTGTCAGGTCTGAATTCCTAAGCCCTTGAACACATTGGTCTTTTTCACTTGCATATATAGTTACAGGGTAAATATTTTTAAGACAGAAACTTTCAAATGTTCACGCGTAAGGTAAACTCTTAGAGATTGTTTTTTTTCCGCAAGGTCTCCATAGCCTTTGTTGTTGTCTCCTCGAGTTTCTTCATCCTTAATCTTATGCTTTCAGGAAGAAGATGCTAAGAAGATCACAGACGCAGATATCAGAAGGCTGAAGTTTAAGAGAATCTAATCTTGGAATAAGGATTCATCGAATTACCTCCGTCAATGCGGAAACAAGGTGATCTTTCTCTTTGTTCTTTTCATTGGAAGCTTGTAGTTTCACCTTGTATTCCTTTTCCTGCCTATATCTTCTGTTAGAACGATGGGCTTGAAACATGTAGAGATGCCAGAGAATGACAAAATACGATAGATTCAAGTGTCAAACCTTCTTTTGATATCCCGGTTTGCTGCGTCCATCTTCTCCCTTATGCTTCCAAATCCTTTTCTCATGGGAGATCTCTCATGATCTCTAGCCGGGCTAGAAAAACTCGGGTATTCTTCTCGATATCGGTGGGAGAATTCTACAAATTGGGTATGATCTAGTTTCAAGCAGCTTCCAAGAGTATGATCATGTTTCATTTTTGTGTCACGAACTTCTTGTTCTAGTTGGATTCCTCTTCAACTAAGGCCAACACTACAAAAAAAGAAATTATGAAGTATACTTGGGACTAGACCATGAACGAGTTCCCGTTCTTGTTTTTGTGGGTTTCTGTCTTCTAACAAGAACCAAAAATGAGCAAACACTTTGGTCTATTCGATACAAGTATTTCAAGTGTGTTTTCAGCTTTCGTGTTTCAGTTCAACCTTATTCAAGGAAGTTAGTTTGTTCAAGTTTAGATATTTTTACCAACCTCTGTCCATATTTCAGATCAGTTTCTCTTGAAGGAGGAACTTTACATCTTAGGCTTAAAATTTTACATATCTGATACAACAACATTACTCAGAAACTTCTCCTCCCCACCACAAGGACAGTAGTGTGTGTTTTGTCCCCCCTAAAACAACTCGAACTCGAGATGATCACCCATGGCTTTACACTCAAGATACCTGTTATCGCTCTCTGGTGCCCCGAGCTCGTAGAAATCGGGCAGCTCGGGCGGGATAGCGCTACGGATGAGAGCCCAGTTCAGCCCTTCGAAAAATGGGTGCCTTTTGATCTCGGCAGCTCCTTTCTCTGAACCAAACCTGTTCTCAGGGTCCTTCACAAGCAGCCCTCTGATCAGATCCTTTGCTTGGAAACTCACCAGAGGGCTATCAGGAAACCTGAGGTTCTGCAACACAACGTTGGCCAGTGTCTCGTCATTGTTGTAGCCTTTGAAAGGCGTCTTTCCATATAAAAGCTCGTAGAGAAGGATACCAAACGTCCACCAGTCCACTGCAGAGCCGTGACCCTCTCCTTTGATGATCTCCGGGGCTAAGTACTCGTGTGTTCCTACAAAGGAATTTGATCTTGCCTCGGTTGGTTCTGCAACAAGTTGGGGCAGTGATTTGAACCGTTGGGTGGTTAAAAGATCAGCCCTTTTCAGCTTCCGAGCTTTCTGTTTCCCAGCTTGGGATGACGATAGCCTCGGGCTGAAACATGGGACCTTACAAGATGGTTCGATGCAGAAGGGTTGTATACAGTTGGATGTGTTTTGTGGACCCGAAATCCTTGCTGGATCTTTCCCCGGTGGAGAAGATGATCTAAGAAGAGTCGGGTTCACGACACATCGGAGTGAGAGGTCGAAATCCGTAAGCATAATGTGGCCATCTTCTCGGACAAGGATGTTCTCTGGTTTCAGATCTCGGTATATAACACCAAGCATGTGTAGGTACTCCAATGCAAGGAGGACTTCCGCAACATAGAACCTGTTTACAGATTTTTTTACCACCAGTTCCTTAAATTCGGTATTATCCATGAAAGCAGCAGTATAAGCAAGTATTGGAGCAATGGACAGAAGCAAAACAGGAATGGGTAAAACCTTACCTAGCTGCAGGTTCCGGGAAACACCTGCCGAGCTGCTTCTGCCTCAGTACATGAAGATCTCCACCAGGACAGTACTCCATGACCAGACATGATAAACTATCTGATGTAAACTGGGCATACAAGGTAGGCAGGAAAGGATGATCTAACATTTTGAGTATTTCCCTTTCTGCTTGGGCTCTCGGCGTCTTTTTTCTTCTGGCCAAGAACTCATTGTCCATGACCTTTATGGCAAACAGGCAGTTTGTACCTATCAGCTCGGCTAGATATACGGTTCCTATGTCTCCACAACCGAGCTTCTTCAAAAGGTTGAAATGCCGTAAACCTAAAGTGCCATACTGCAACTTGACATGTTTAATGGCTTCCCATCTCACATCCATCGACATGTGAGGTTTATTACCACAGCTAAACCTGCTTAGATTGCTCTCTTCACTCATCATGCTTGTGCTGCTGCTATAATCCCCTATACTGTCTTTTGAACTCAATGAGAACTCAAACTTTTCGCTGGAAGTTGGATTCTCTCTTCCCTTTTCATCAGCAGCATCGGTTCCACTGTAATTTCTTGAAGAGACATCGTGTTTCATGACAATGCCAGATTCACTATTATGACTGACCTTGTCTGAATCGGACGAGTTCTTGCTGGCTACATTACCGCTCATAGCAATGTTATTGCCATGAGGGGATGCAAGAGAATCCTGATTAGCTTCTTTACCGACATTGCTTGAAACAGAACACGGATTGTCTGAACCTATCTTAGGATGGTGAGTAGAGTACGGGGAAGGGTCGGTCTTTATGCTGGAGTTCTTCAATGCACAGTGACACCTCTGGCAGAGAAGTTGATTTGTATTAGGATCTATGGGATGATCAACTTCCCCAACTTTATTTGTAGGATATGTTGCAGAAGCTACCCCAAGCTTGACCTTCTTCTTAAGCGAAATCTTTCGTTGGGTCCTGGGCTGGGGGCGTGGAATAGTTCTTGTTACCTTGCTTTCCCTTTTTTTTGTACCCGAACCGGGTTCACAGAGCAACTTTTTGTTCTTCCTAGGATCTAGTCCCATTGGCTCTTTTGGCATTCTAGCAGATGAGAGAATGTTCTTGTCTTGATCTATTGAATCATCTCTGCTGCTAGAGTGAGAAGGCGTCGAAGTGGCACATTCATCTATTTCTATCACACCACCTCTGTCTGATTCCCTCATTTCATCTCCACAGCAAGAACCAGAACCAGACCTAGACTTGCTGGATTTGAGCAATAACTCGGTTTCTGACTTCTTGTTTGCAATTCTTTGTGACCCGGAGTTATTTCCACTTTCACGAAGAACGACTCCAGGCTGAGAGGTTCGGGAACTAGGTGCCAGAATCTCTGTCTCGAGGACATCAACACTCCTGGAAGAACTCGGTTTATTTTCTTCTGGTGTCAAGGACATCTCAACCAAACTGCCTTTACCCTTATCCACAGGAAGCCCAGACCTGCTGGAAGATTCAACCAAAACTTGATTATACAAACTCTTTATCCTGTCTGCTTCTGAGATCCTCGGGGATGCAGCAGCAGATTTCGACAACCTTTTCTGGGCAGCCATTTCGGATGCTTTGGAAATGCAAAGATCCCTCAGAGCCTGCTTCAGTGATACTGAATCTGAGTGTCCAACTCTCGGTGATTGTGGTATCCCCATTGTAATTGGCTTTTTCATGGATTTCGATGATGGACTTGTACCGGTGCTTGCGCTTATCTCGAGATGATGGAAAGAAGAACCCTTTACTCCTTTCCCCATACTTTTTACCGTTACAGATTCAAAAAGCTTATCAATGTCATACTCCAGAGAACCCTTGTAAGCTGGCTTCAGCACAGGATGCTCCAGATCTTTGCACGACACCAAACCAGGCTTATAATACCGGCTGGAATGTTTAGCCGACCTACCCTCATCCTTCTCTTCAACGATTTCGCAAGCACCCGAGAAAGATCCCATCGAAGTGTCTTACTCAAGACATCAACACAACTTCACAACAGCACATACTGATACTAATCCGGAGTCCAAGGTTCAACAACAAAGGTTCCTTTGTCCTAACGCTGAGTTCAATCTAAATGTAAGAAACCACTCTGTTCGTACTAGACCCCCTCAGCACAAGTCCTGTAAAAGCCGCAAAACGCGTGAACAAACTTAAGTCAAGAGTCTATGGAAAATGACGGAACATGTAAGGAAAGTGACAAGATAAACTATGAAAAAAGTGTAAGGGGTTGCTGAATATAGAAAAGAGATGTGTGCAATGATCAAAGGCACTTCAAAACTAAAGGAGAAACAGCAGATCTAGCTAGCAAAACGAATGCTAAATCTATGATAGTCATAGACTTCATCATGAAACCTAAGGGTAATAAAGCAAAAGAACACATTTTTCGAAGAAAAAACTTTACGTAAACCACCGAAACCACACGGATTTGAATATTTTAGCATGGGGCGAAGTAAAATCACACGATAACGAGATGAACAGAGATACCCGGATGAGAAAAAGCCTGAATTTCCCAAGAAATGTCTGACCATAAAGATCGAGATTCCAGAAAAGAAGTAAAACATTAGACAAATCTCGTGACAGTTGAGCAAAATCAGGAGGCGTTGAAATGGCAAAAAGAGTAGCTTCGAGCAAGAAGGTAAGACCCAAGAACAGAACAGTAGCTTTCAAAAAATGAAGTCTCGGATCTCATGAAGCAGTTAAAACAAGAACAGTAGCTGAAGCAGAGGTGAGGATTCAAACACATTAAATGCACAAAATAAAGAAGAGAAGAAACCCCGCCAATCGTCTGGAGATTCATTCAAACCTCGCCAGTGAAATACATACAAAAAACATGAACAACACAGCTAAAAAGACAAGCTCACTGCCCAGAAATGGAAAGTCAGAGAAAAATCCAGGAGAAAACTTCCCAGAAACATACTGTAGACCCCTGAGAAAATTATCACAAATCTCATGAAAAGCAACCGAAATAATCGAAACGGGAACTCAGAAGAAAACCCAGGAGAAATTTTCGCAGAAACATAAACCAAAACCCCCTGAGAAAACGATCACAAATCTCATGAAAAGCAACCAAAACAATCGAAATGCGTGATAGAGAACAGGAGAAAAAAGTACATTTGCAAAAAGTAAAGCTAGAGGAAAACGCCGAAGAGGCGGTACTCAGAAAGCATCGACGAGAGAAGAAACTAAAAGGGCAAAGAGATTCCGAGAAGAACCGCGTGAATCCGAAGCTCCAATAAGTCGAAAACCCTAATGGCCTCCTGCCTGAAGAGGATCCAGAGACAGAGAGAGTTTTGAAACAATTTACTAGAGAGAGAGAGAGAGAGAGAGAGAGAGAGAGAGAGAGGGATTAATATTATTTTATTTGTGGGGTGGTAAATCTGGGTTTAGCGATGAAAGCCATGGTGGGACCCATAGCATATGTTGTGGGGCTCATGTCATGTAACGGTGACATATACGTTTTCCGTATTCTCGACGTCGATGTAGACCCCATGACATACATACACATACAACATATATATATATATACTACGTATTTATATTATGTATATAGATGTCGCTTATTACACTTCACATCAATCTTTGATAGTTCAGAAACTATTACTGTTTCGTAATGTTTCGCATTTAATGAATCAACTTTTTTCATATTTTTCCAATATGTTTTATATAAAAAAAAGCAAGTGTATTATGTATATAGAGAAAATACTATAACAATACATACAGTTCTCGGCATTTGCTGCGGGTAGTAAATTAATTGCGGCAGGTAATATGGTAAAAAATTAAATGGCTAAAAATCAATTTTTTAACTAAAAAATGAGTTTTATTTCCGAAGAAATTATGAATAAATAGTTTCTGAACGATATTGTTAGGAGGGAGAGGAAACTAGTTTCTGCTTATTTAATAGTTTTCTTTTAAAAAAAATTGTTATCCCTAATTTAAATTGACAAAATTCTGGTAAATTTTCGGACTATATAATTCGAAAACGGTAGGTTATATATAAATCATTTTCTTACCAAAGTGTATTTTTCATTTTTCATTTTTTTCCCAGATTGTGATATTTGTGTTCAATATATTATAAAAGTATATATATCTATGATAAATGAATTGTTTAGATTAAATAACAAAAGCTGTATAAGTCATATGCAATTAGAAAAAAGCAAAATATAACTGCATGCTTAGTTGGACTTTAATGATAAATAAGTAAATAATAAATTGGCAGCATAAATATTAAGATAACAAAACTTAGATTAAAAAGCAACATCATTATTAGTCTAAATAAATCATATCTAATTGTTGATTCTTTAAGTCATATAAATTTTATTTCAATATTAAAATTGATATTTATGAATGTAACAGTAATCATGTATAATATGGTTAGTGGTCCCGACTATTAATAATTAACAATTTTAATTGAATATAAGCTAATCACAATAGTTGAATGTGTGAGACTAGACATGTTGATTAAGCCTAGGATCCTTCTTTCTACACCTTTAATCTATTTCCTCGTGCTTTTAATCCCAATAAAGTGTTTTTCATCACTACAAACTAAACAAATTATATATATATATATATATATATATATATATTCTGTTTTATATCAATCTTTAATTATATTTACATTTTAATTACTTATTAATTTTCATACAATTTTTAACATAGATTCATAGTATTGAAGCTTTTCGGTTAGATTACTTTATTTTCAGTTTTACATCCGTTTGATTTTGATGTGGTACAGTTTTGAATTAAAGTTTTGTTAAAAATATTGATTTTCAATAAATATTATGTTTTTTATTCATTGTTTCTGTTACTAAATATTTTGAGTTAACTTGATTTTTCAAATAATTCTATATATTTTTATTTTATAAAAAAAAAGATATTGATTTTGATTATCATGTAGTTTAATTTCGTTTTTATTAAAAGTTTTCTGTTTTAAAAATTGTATTTATTCATTTTTATTTTTTTATATCGAATTCCATTAAAATCCGCTTAATGTAATTTAATAAAAGTATTTTATCAAACCAGTTTACAAATATAATTTGGTTTGGACAAATTCGTTTTTCTATAAAAAATAAAATAAAAATATCTATAAGCCATGCGTATATGTTATTATTAAATTTGTAGCGGTCAAAACGAGTTTCTGGTTCGTGTGATGTAAAATCGAAGTTGTGATTAGGAAAAGCGTCGGCGACCTTTTGACCTACGCGGTTGCAAGTAGATTCTTTTCTAAATGGATTAATTTTAATTTATTTAATTTGTATTCATTTCTTAGCTTCGTTAGTAGAAATTTATTACTTTAATACGGAAAAGTATCAGTAAAAAGATTATGATTATGATTTATGATAGATATATTAACATATAAAGAATGAATTAAAATTATAAAATTCCACGTTTAGATATTGGGTCCAATTTATTTTGTGTGGAGGATGTCTTATCAAATATAATGTTAGGTTTGACCAACCAAGGTGCAAAATTGTCAATGAGCCAATTATATTCTCATGGAATAAATTCTTTTTATTATTATTATCATCGTATGCAACACAATACAAATATTATATATGTACATTTATTTATACAATTAATGATGGGAAAATCTGCAGCTAATGATTCTTAACATAACAGTAGATCAAACACGCGAGATTACGCATGGTAAGAATACTCTCTCTGTGTCTCTATATATAGATACATTGTTTTTTTAAAATCAAAACCTTATATATATATATATATATATATATACACACTGTCAAAACCATGCACGGTTACAAAGATAATTAATTACAAATAGGGTGTTGAATTTGATTTTTGGTTTGGTTTTTACCTTATAATTTTTATTTAAATTTGGTAGTTTTGAATATATATATATATATATATATATAGAGAGAGAGAGAGTTTTATGTTCCATTTCGATTTTTCCAAATATTAATTATCTTTTTTTCCTAGACAGATAGAATACGAAATTATGAGATGGAAGTGGAATATAAAGAGAAAAAATAAAAAATATTATGGAGAAAAAGAGGAGAAGGCAACCACTGTTTGCTTGGCGGTTTTTTCTTGGCACCCAATTCACTCTACGTTTCCTTATTAATTTTTTTAAAAATTTACCACATTATTTTTACAAGAACTATATATATAATATAGCACACACATATATATATATATATATGTATGTATGTATGTATGTACTAAGGGAGACATTTTAGGAATTTATTGATTTCATCTTTTAATAGTTTCTTTTTGTCTTTTTTTTTTTAAGTCTTTGGTGGTAGGAGAAGAAAACAGAGGGACCAATCTATACAGATATTAAATGTGGGCAGAACTCATTATCAAATGGAAATAAATAAATAAATAAATAAAGCTACCATAGCTTTTTGAGTTAGGGAAAAAAGAAATTGAAGTTAGGAACCAAATTCTTTGAAACTCTTTGGTAAAAAGGAATAAACTGTTGGCCCATGTTATGTTTTTCCTTCCTATTAGATAATACATCACAACACACACATACATATCCACATATAGTTATATGGTTGCTTATATTTTTAGAAATATATTAAGTAATGTCTATAAGTATAAGTTGATACCATAAAGTATACATTGATGTAATATGTTTTACTTTGTAGTCAAATATTTCAGTAAGATTTCCTTATCTGATAATTTTCTTGCGAAAAATACAATCTCTACTTTGCAATTTTGATATTCAATCAAAATTTGCATGTTGAATTAGGCAATTTCAATTTTGGATATCAACCACCAATATATATATGTATATGTGTGTGTGTGTATATATTAATAACACTTGGGTCCAAAAAATAAGGCGATGCATACGTAATGGGCCTTAACGTTCAATTCTTATGGCCCAAATATAGAGAGTCAAATGGCTGGGTAATAGGCTTACAATACGGTGTCGTTTCATTGGAGCAAACCCCACCAGCTCTGTTTTGGTTTAAGAAAGATATTTTTTTTTTATAAAAGAAAGATTAACATATAAAGTTTAAAATTTTCCAAATTAAATGCTTAACTTTTTTCGATTTATACAAAATAATATGAATAATAACCAAATTTTTATATAAAACTTACCTTTTAAAATTTTAACATATTCTATAATGATCACTCGTTAATAGCGTTGCGGATCAAATTAAAATAAATAAAAATAAAATAACAAAAATATATAAAAAATATTAAAATAATAAAATAAGAACTTTTTATATACATATACGTATATATAGGGCAGTATTTATCTTCCCTATTTTCCAATAAAAAATCTTGAAACCTATTAATAAAATCAGCTAGTATTTGTTTATTTTGAAATAGCAGTTCAGGTTTACGAGCTACGTAAGACGGTGAGTTTTTTCAGATCTGCGATGCTGTCTTGATGTCGTTCTCGTCTGACTCATAGATTGAGAGATGTTGCGGTGTTGAGTGTCCGATCCGAAGGGTTGTAGGATAGGGATTTTCCATGGTAACAAAAAAATAAATTATCCAAATCCCATCAAGTTCTAAAACAAGACTTTGATTAGTAATTATAATAATAATGATGATAATGTTAATATATTTTTCTAATTAAATTAGCAATCATTTGAAGTAAGGAAACATATTTACGAAAAAATTACGATACAAATACCAATTTACAGTACAAATACATACATATAAAAGAATTTTTTTTAAATGACACCGCCGAGCAATTTTAGTCCCTGATTGAAACTTTGCCACGTAAACTGCCACTAGTAACATTCCACGTGGCAGAATGGGCTCCCCCGACCGACCTTCATCTTAAACTCTGTGCCCAGTCACGAGCCTCGCACGTGCGGTCTCTTCGCGCGTGTCAAAGTGCCTACGTGGCAAAACCTGAGACGTGGCTCTCAGAGATACATGGGAGAGTGTTAGCACAAATGTAGGTTGTGAGCTGGCGTGACACGTGTCACTTCCTCGCGATCCATGGGCTACGCCCCCTCTCTCCTCCCTCTCACCAGCAGTTTTCCTTCGCTCGGAGGAGTTGCAGTTTCCATCTCTTCCGTTTTTGGGCCTTTTTCAATCTTCCAATTCTTTTGCTCTTCTTCGGGATTTTGTTTTTCAGTTGATGGAGTTGGAGCAGGTCTCTAGCTGTTGTTCTTCGTCTTCTCCGTCTCCGTCATCGTCGGCGGCATCGGATTCGTCGCCGTTGGGGGAGGGCGCGGCGGACCGTACGGAGCTGGAGGCGGCGGAAGCATTGGCGGATTTGGCGCAGCTTGCGTTAGTGCGGGAGAAGGTCGTTGAGTCCGCCGCAAAATGGGGGAGAAAGGGGAAACGAGTGAGGAAGCGAGTAAAGAATGAGTCTCCCCCCTGTAACCCGGTGTTGAAACCGGCTGATTCGGAACCACCTGCTTCGGATCCCGCCGAGGTTGGTCTCTTCGTTTTTCCCATTGTCGTGTTTACTCCGAGAACTTCTCAGATTTTGAAATTTCAGTGTTAGATTTGCTGAATTAAGTCCTTGTTCAGAATATGGTCCAATTAGTGATGTGAAAATCTTTCATGATTTAGAAGGCTTCTTTGTGCATATGAAGAAATGGAGCCCTTTTTCATGGTGGGATATATCCATTCCCATTCCAAAGGATTGGAGGTCTTGACTTATCTGTGACTTTTGGGTATTTCATGTGAGATGAGTATAGTGCAAACCGTCGAATGATATCAGGATCTATTGGAGCCACTGATATAGGTAGAGGATCCATAACTAGGGTTTAAGATGAGGATGTCTGCAGAATACGTTCCTGCAACAGTCATGTTTGGAGTTGCTTCTGATGGAACATAACTGAGTTTTTCCTGTCTTACTATTTCCAAGTCCAAGAGTGAGTTCGGATTGTTTAGGCATCATCTTGTGTGTTTCGACCCTTACTTGCTTGCTTATGATAAAATTAATAGTTGAAAAGTATTTTCTAATCCTGTTTATATATTAGTTTGCAGAGTGCATTGAACCACTGGTGATAAGCAATGCACTGGGAAATATCAATGAGAAGCTTGGTTCCTTGGTACTAACTTTACGATCGTCTTCTCGGAGTTACGATCTTGATGTAGCTGATTTTCTTTTCATTTGCATTTGCAAAGTCGTTACCTTCATAAAATCACCCACGATACAATCTGTTTTCACGTCAGGAATCCGTAACGCTGTTTCTGTATCAGGAACGAGCAGTCAAAGAAGAACAAGAAGCACAAGCGATTGGTAGAGATCTAACAATAGTTCCAGTCAAAACTGAAGTAGATGAAGAGACACCGAAACAACTTCTTGCCTCGACCCTAAAATGTAGATCATCTGGAGGTGGCAGATGGAGACAGAATTTGAGTGAGGTATCACAAGTTCAAAACTTTTCTTCCCTGGTTTCTTCTTTCATGCCAATCACTTGGAACTGAAGTGATACACTCTATAGGCTGAAAAAGAAGAACGGAGAATACGAAGAATATTAGCAAACAGAGAATCAGCTAGGCAGACCATTCGAAGAAGGCAGGTATAATCGACATCCTCCCTATAGATTGAGTCTATGTTCTGATGCTGGTTGTGGGTTATGTTGGCTCTATTCTGATAATGTCCCTATCTACCTAGAAATGATTTGGCCAGGCGACAAATTAGGGTTTCACTTGTTTGACTATTGACTCTTTGTTGATAAACTTGTTACAAGAGCTCCACTCCAGAGTATTTGGAGCATGTCATTGTCATGCTTCATGGAAGGCAGGTTAGTTGTGCCCTAGAATCAGATGATTAAGTAATTTTTCCTTATATACACAGGCATTGTGCGAGGAGTTGAACAGAAAAGCATCAGATCTGTCATATGAGAATGCACAACTAAAGAGGGTAAGGGCACCGACCAAACTCTTTTCTTTTCCCACATAGCTTGCTTCTTCTCTAAAGCTAAGTCATCCTTTTCGTTTTCTGCTGCTGAGGCTTATTGAAACAACACATTCACATGCTTTTTCCGGAAGGAACCATGAATCTGCAACTCTAATTATATAGCTAACGAAAAAATCTACGTGTAGGAAAAGGATTGGGCATTGAAAGAGTTTCAGTCTTTGGAGATGATTAACAAGCATCTAAAGGAACAGGTAAAATATATATATATCAAACACCGTATCAGTTAACAGGAACATTGATAGTCACAGTTTTTGCTATAGCTCACAAAGCACTTGTCTTTACAGTTATCGAGGTCAATAAAACCCGAGGCAAAAGAACATGATGAAGCCCCGAAGGCATCACAAGTCGAGACAGCTGCCTCCGCTCCATTTTGTTGCTACAACCAGCATCCTTTCCAACTATTCTGCTGGTCTCCTGTCATTCAATCATCGAGTTCTGCAGCATTACCACAAAATGGCCTCACAGTCCCATCCATGATTTCTGCACGAGCTTCTACAAAAGTCGAGCCATCCAAGGAGCAGGAAAAGCCTGGAAATGATGACGGGATGAAACCTCCTTTCTACATTGTACCATGTCCTTGGTTTCTTCCTCCTCCTGGTCAGACTAATGGAGTTCAGACCGTTGTCCCGTACGAGTTGGAAAACATACAAGAAGGTTGTTCTTTAAGACATGTAGACAACATCCAAAGCTTGCCGTCTCGTTTACCGTCTATAACTAAAGAAGGGGATTCAACTAGAGGCTTTTATGATCTCAACAAGTCAGCTCCCGATATCCCCGCTGAAGGGGAACCGTCCTTTTTCTTCAAGCACGAAGAAGCTTCTCAACCGGCTAATGGTCCTGCATTGATCTCGCTACCCGAGGAAAGCCGAGGATATGTCGGGTACTCGTCGAGTAAGCGATTGGTAGACTCTGTGGCTGCGGCTGATGCCAGGAAGCGGCGGAAAGAGCTTACAAGGCTTAAGAATCTCCATAGCCGTCAATGTCGGATGCAGGTATGAATAATACTGAGGCACTTCACCACCTCTTCTTCCTCATTTTTTCCGGCTTTAGTCACCATCCCTAAAGAATCAAGAGCCATAGCTTTTTCTAAGGAGAATCATATACATGTTCGAAATAGTGTTTTCGCTCTTTCGTACTTGCGTTTTTGCCAATGCGCGGCCGAGAATTTTGTAGCCGGGCCAGAGGGAAATGTTAGGGTTAATCCCAAGGAATAGGGCGGAATCAGAAGTTATTGAGTTTTGTTTTAGGGTTAAAAGCCCCTTTTGTTGGATCAATTACGGATGCTGTTTTGCTCTTTGGAGTTTGGCTTCAGCTTTGATCTGTTCTGTCTTTACGATCTGTTTCTCCCAATGTTTTCTGTAGCTTCAGATTTTGTATCCTATTTGATGGCAATAATCAAATTGTGCTACATCATGATACATACACATATACATACACATGCACATACACACACTCATTTCTCCAAGTTTTTTGAGCTCCAATGTTTTGGGAGGTGAGAAGACGCCGAGATCTTGGAATCTGATTTGCGAAATCCAGGAACCAAATTTAGAATACTGCCGGCGAATTATTGTTGTGGGTAGACATGGATATTTCGGGTTTGTTTGTGTTATTTTTGGATCCAAGTTGTTTGGTTTTAGAAAAAAATTTAAATTATTACGTTTCATATTGAATTGTTTTTTGTTTGATTTATGTTTAGGTTTATAAAAAATGTTTATTTTTAAAAGAAATTTTCAATTTTCTATTATTTTTATATTTGTTATTAGATTTAGTTTTTTTTAAATCATATTTATTCTATTTTTCGACTTAGAATTCGTTTGATTTTAGATATTCAATTCTTTGGTAGAGCGTGATAATTGGGTTGATAAGATGTTATATTTATTTGTTTTTTTAATCTATGGGAAGAACCTGGAATCGAAATCGAACCGTACTAAACTAAAAAATATAATATATTTTTTTCGAACCGAATCGTACAAAATTCTTAAGAAGATTTAAAACCTTCTAAATAAAAATTGAAAACACAATTACATTTATGTTTTTCTTTTGTTTCACATTTGGTTTCAATTATATTCTGATTGGCATCGATCTTCTTCTCCTCGATTGTAACGGTTAGTTGATAACACATTTTCAAACAATTTACGGAAATTGTTCTTCAACATAATGAAACTCTCTACCAAAAATCATTGAACTTGTGGTATTAACATCGGAAAGCTTCCTTCGGTCCATCCGTTATCTGACTTCTCCAATTTACACATGAGTTCATTATGTCTATAAACATTTAAAATTAGTTCATTTATATATTATATATCGTATCTTCTATATCATCCTACCCAATAAATAAATAAATTCACATCTGTAATTTTATAAGACACATCAATTCACTATTCTTTTTTAACTTATCTGATATCATTCAAATTAATCCCCAAAAGATACAAAATTCTTCTAACTAGAAATCTAGATTCCATTCCACAACTAATTAATTTAATGACTTAAACACGCAACACACGCATTAAATATATTAAATGGAGTTTTTATGTATCATATTTGTAACAGTATATATATACGTACGTGTAATGTATACAGGTGTATATATTTTCGTACGGAGCGAGAGATCCATGGCATATTCCCTTTGGACATAACGTGTCCACATGATCTACTTAAGCCGACATCACGTTCATGTCACTTGCTTCATTGATTACACGTCGGCTCGAATGATGGATAACGTTATATTTATAAAAAAAAAACGTAATTAACAATAATTATTTACTCTTCGGACCAACAAACAAAACAAGTTTATCCTTGATTATTATTACAAGTGTTGAAACTAATTTGTTCTAGAATTTTATATTTTAAGATTTGTAAAAAAAGATAATTGAAATGAGGACAAGAAAAATAAAATTAATACTTTAGCAGTTAGAAACTGAACATTAATACGTATCAAATTATAATAATATCATGAACCTGATTTTTTTGGTTAAAAACGTGAAGTGGAAGTACATCGAAAATAAATAAAAAAACATCAACTTTCTCTTAATTATTACGTTTTTTATTTCCTCTAAAATTGTATGTATCTAAGTTTTTAAGAGAAAATGAAAGTTAAAAAATTCAAACAAACTTAATTAATTGTAAAAAAAATCAAACTCTGTTTATAAAGAGAATTAACGGTCATACAACATAGTTAATGACAATATAAATAGCATGCGCGTAATATCTATATATATACACGTAGTTTAAATAGAAAATATGCACATGATGTTACGAGGAAGATGTGGTTGTCGATTTTATAAAAAATAATTAGTTAATGGAAACTAAACTATATTGCCATCTAACGGTATTTTATAACGGTTTTGTGCAAAAGAATTCCATCCAATCAAATTTCTACACGTGGCACGATCTATTTTAAATGCACTTAATTAGAACTTAATGGTGCTTAATTAAAAAAAGGAAAATCATGGAAAAGATGAGGAAGCCGTCTTTCATCCCTACACACACACACAAAAGCCAAAGGAATCTATAAAAAAAATCATATTTTCGTTATCAAGGGTATAAAAATGTTCATAAGAATTAATAAAATTAAATTTTATATAAATGTTACTTTTACAGATATTAATCACAATATATCTGCAGGGGCACTTGTGTGTTCCAATGCAGAAGTTTTTCTTCCAAATGGCAAATGCTTTGTTCAAATGATTATTTATATAATAAAAAAAAAAAACAGAAAATCATTTTCTATAATTGTAGAAATTACAAAGTTGGTCCATCTTCACTATATACCGTAAGCATATTTTTACGTGGTCTTATCTCATTCGCTTCACGTAACGATGGAAACTCATATATGAGAATGACTAATATTGCTATTTATCTCAATACTTTTCTTTTTTTTATCACAATTTATTAACCATATAAAACATTCTGAGTTCTGATTTTATTTGGTTCAGTTATTTTTTAATCCCGTTTATGAATTTTATAAAATTAAAAGTTTCGTTCAAATTCTTTTTATTAAGAAAAATATTTCTTTTTAAAAAAAAATCATTCACTTTTTCGTTAATTTTATATTCCGTCCAAATTCAATTAATTTAATTTTTTTAAAAAATTATATTTAGTATAACATATGTTAAGCTATAGTTATATATTTAACTAGATCGAAATGTCCCCATCCTGTGACATTGGGTGAACTCTTCCATGTTACGAAAACCTTAACAAATCGAGCATTGACTTTATGTTTATTTCGTTTCAATAAATAAATAATAGAATAGAATATGCTGCAAGCAAAACCCAAGAAAAAAAAAAAGCAGAAACCGAAATGAGTTACTTGACGCCATGGCTAACGGGTTGTATAAACAACTTGAAGCTTCCACCAATCTCTTCACCATCAATCCATCATCGTCATCAAGATCTCAATATCATCAACAAATACAGACCCATATTTCAGAAAAATCATCAGATCATAACAATGAAGAAGCTCTTGAGGAGTATATTCATCATCAGCATCAGCTTTCTGTTCCTCTCCCCGCTCGTTTCTCTTGCGGACAACCCGGAAATGACCCGTGAGCCGCCTCGGCGTATCGTCTTTGTTCCTCATGAGCGGTCCAAATCCGACCCACAACAGGTTTCTCCTTGTCTCTTTCACGTCTTCATGTAATCATATATAGTCTGTCTATATATATACGTGTTTATGTATATATACATCTTGAGTACTTGGTTAATTTTGTTTCGTATATACATTTCTGTTTAAGATTTTTATCTCTTCCTTAATCTATTTGAAACTAAACTTCATCGATATATTTATGCATATTGTGTATGCACTCTCTTACTCTTACATGTTAAGATTCTCGCTAACTGCATTTTCATGCATTTAAGATGCTAATTCAATATACAATTGGATTTAGATAGAAAAAAAATTAGGTTAATTTGTTGGAATTAGGAATTTGAAGCGTTTACATAATTCTCCATATCACTCTCCCTAAATTTAATTGGGTAATTTCATGCATTTAAGATGCTAATTCAATATACAATTGGATTTAGATAGAAAAAAAATTAGGTTAATTTGTTGGAATTAGGAATTTGAAGCGTTTACATAATTCTCCATATCACTCTCCCTAAATTTAATTGGGTAACTATGAACGTTAAGATTTCTTGAATTGATCTTTCATTATATAATATGTATGTATGTATATACATACATAATTTTTTTATAACTTGATGTTATAATGACGAAAATATATACATACATACATATATAAAGGTGCACATATCGTTGGCTGGGAAGGACCACATGAGAGTAACATACGTAACCGAAGACAAGAAAGTACCGTCGGTGGTGGAGTACGGAAAGCATCCGGGAAAGTACGACGGAAAAGCCACCGGAGAACACACTTCTTACAAGTACTTCTTCTACTCTTCCGACAAGATCCACCACGTCACCATCGGACCTCTCCAACCCAACTCCACCTATTATTACCGCTGCGGTGGCCGCGGCCCCGAGTTCTCCTTCAAGACTCCTCCTTCCGATTTCCCCGTCGATTTCGCCATCGTCGGTAATCCCAATTCTTAAGTTTTTATGCCAAAATGCATTATATATTCGGATCTTGAATGACAAACCGAAATTTTGAAATATTTCAATTTACATGTCCTGCATATGATAACTTTTTTTTTTATAAAGATTATGCGTTTTGGAATGAATAGAGATATAGCAGGGCCACTTCTTTGTTCTTGTAATGGACCACTCTCTCTGTTGATGTAGACAATCGACATCATGCATGTAATGACAAGCAAAACCTATATATATATATATAGATACACATAAATGATAACTATATTTAGATCCATAGATTTATACGCTAGTGATTAAGATACAAATTATTTCAATGTTATATAGATCAAACTGCAAATTAATTTAACTAGTTGTATAGTTTCTTATATATATACGTACCTTTCCTGTATACCTTTTCTCTGGCCCGAGTTACTTTATTTTAAAGTACACGCCACAAATATAATTAAGCTTTGAAGATTGCATATAGCCTAGGTCACGTCATTGCTTTCAAGACACATGTATCAAGCCTCTATATAGATATTCAATTCCGGTTTATTCCGGTTCAATCTCAATGTAAACCGGTTTTGTTTGCATGAAGGCGATCTAGGGCAAACCGAGTGGACAGTGGCTACACTATCTCAAATAGACAGCAAAGACTACGACGTATTCCTGCTTCCGGGGGACCTTTCCTACGCCGACACTCAACAGCCGATGTGGGATTCGTTCGGCCGCCTGGTGGAGCCTCAGGCGAGCCGCCGCCCCTGGATGGTCACTGAGGGCAACCACGAGATCGAGATCTTTCCCATCATCGAACCCACTCCTTTCAAGTCCTATAACGCCCGCTGGCTCATGCCTTTTGCCGAGAGCGGCTCTAGCTCTAACCTCTACTACTCTTTCGATGTATCGGGGGTCCACGTCGTGATGCTTGGGTCTTACACGGATTTCAATTCGGATTCCGATCAGTTCCGGTGGCTCGAAAATGATCTCGGAAAGGTTTGTTTTTTCCAACTTTTGATCTTTACTTATCCAATGGTAAAGATTAGAACATATTAAATAATATTCGGTTACATCTCTAGAGACTTTTGTTCTCTAGCATAGAATTGATCAAGTACTAGGAAATATTCATAACACATTAATTACAAAATATTTCCTCTGTTAGAGAAATTCAACCAGGTATACGAGTCATACAAGAATATAATTTTTTTTTAATCCGGAAGTTCACCGGGCTTTTGGCCTGACTATATCTCGTAGAGGACCGGAGAAGCCCAGGTGAATACCCCTCCCTATGCTTGGATTTGAACCCAGGATGAGAGCATGATTTGAATGTTCTCTCACCACTAGGCCACCCAAACTTGGGTATACAAGAATATAATTATTAGTCTAAGTATATATATATACATATATCTATAATGGTAACAATCCAAAACAATAACCGGTTAAACCAGTTGTCTATGGGTTTACATTGAAATCTCGATATGATAACCCCAATAGTTAATATTTTTGTGCGTGTAAATATATTTGTCCAAAAATTATATGTATACTTAATTGTTTTAAAAAAATATTGTTTGAAAAAATAAAGGTTGACCGTAAAACGACGCCGTGGGTGGTTGTGTTGCTGCATGCGCCGTGGTACAACACAAACACAGCTCATCAAGGAGAAGGTGAGAGCATGAGAAATTCCATGGAGGAACTTTTGTACAATTCTCGAGTCGACGTCGTTTTCGCTGGTCATGTCCATGCCTATGAACGTTTCGTAAGTTTCTCTTTCTCTCTCAAAGATTCAGGAAGTTAACCACATGTTAGAAATCAAAGTAATAGAATTGAGCATGGATTGAATACCATTTTTTTCCTTTGCGGATATCCGAATCCGAATCTTTCGGGTTTCGGGATTTTGATCCATTGTCCAATCCTAGATATTTGGATTTTACGGATAATCCAATATGATAATATGATCTTGACCGAACAAACAAGAAAATATTTGGTCCATTCGATCAATTATGACCCACGTCCACTTGGCTTGGACGAATAATAAAATTTGTTGGACAATTAAAATATAGTAATTATAAACATTTCAAATAATGGATAGCATTTAATTTTGTATGTCTCTATATATAATACCATCAAATTGTGACACTACACAGACGCGGATTTATGACAACAAGGCCGACCCGTGTGGACCAATCTACATTACTATAGGTGACGGAGGCAACCGAGAGGGACTTGCCTTGGAGTAAGTCATCATCATCTTCTTTTACTTCTTCATTTATTTTAAAACCATATATAATTTCACCCAAATTAAGTATTATATCTCATTTCGATAATTCGGTTAATTATTCTAACAAAAATAAAACTATATGATTAGATTCAAGAAGCCTACTTCGCCGTTATCTCTATTCCGAGAACCGAGTTTCGGGCACGGAAGACTTAGGTTTATCGACGAAAAACGAGCACATTGGTCGTGGCACAGAAACAAGGATTCAAATTCGGAGATTGCAGATGAAATCTGGTTAGACAGTCTTACCACATCTTCGGCTTGTTGGATTTCAGTATATATATACGTACGTGTA